TGAGCAGCGGTTCTCAGTGCGTGTCTCCAGACCAGCACCCTCAGCCTCACTGAGGAGTTTGTAGCTTGTTTTAAAAATGCTGATTCTCAGGCCTCCTCCCGGACCCACTGAATCGGAAACTCGTCTGGGTTGTCACAAGCCCTCCTCGGGATTCTGATGTGTGCTCAGGTTTGAGACTGACACGTTTATGAGATAAAATCGGCCTCCCCAGGGACACAGGAAATGGCTGTCCTTCCCAGAGATCTAGTCCTTGCTGCCCTAGGGCATCTGCGTAACAGGCTACCTGCGCCCCTGTGCACCAAGGTCGCTAGCTCCTGGCACGTACCAGCCTCGGGAAGATATGGAAAAGCATGGATCACTTTCCCGTGTCCTTGACTGAGTCCACTAAGCCCATGCCCCTGCCGTCCACAGCTCACCTACTAAGCCATTTGGGTCTAGCCGCACCTACCGCCCGAAACCGATTTCTGTATCAATAAAGAAAACCTAGGTCATGCCGGGGTGACAAATCACCCGCAAACTCCCCTCCCATGACAGGATAATGGTAAATCGGTGCTCCTGACAGCCCTGGAATGTAGGCTGGTGAGGGTACTCGGCTCCACGCAGTGCCCAGGGAACCCCGGCAGCCCTATGTCCATCTGGACACTTGCTTCTACGAACAAGATGGGAGAAGGGGACACAGCAGCAGACTGGCTTTTCAAGCTCCCACCTGCAACGGACACGTCACTTCTCGCCAATGTTCCACTGCCAATGCAATCGCACAGCCAAGCCTGACTTCAGAAGTAGGCAGGGAGTACCCAGAAAAAGAAATGGAACATCTGAGAAAGAGCCCAAATGATTACTACCCAAGGTTATGGGTGGACCACAACACCCATCGTGTGCAAAGCTCTGTATCAACGTTAAAGAAATGGTGGGACCCAGTGTTTCCAGGTTTAGGTTCACTATCATTTTATTCCTGCTCACTTTTTTTTTTTTTTTAAATAAACTCTATGCCCAACGTGGGGCTCAAACTCATGACCTTGAGATTAAGAGTCTCATGCTCTGCCGACTGAGCCAGCCATTCGCCCCCGTTCCTGTTCACCTTCACATCTACAAAACCTACACCCTCCCCACCTAAGATCTTTTTTGTTCAAACTCTTTCAAATAAAAAAAAAAATTTTTTTTTTTTGAGATAGTGTGCACATGCGTGAGTTGGGGGGGCGGTAGAAGCAGAGGGAGAGGGAAAGAGAATCTTAAGCAGGCTCCATGCTCAGCACAAAGCCCAACCTGGGGCTCGATCTCAGCACCCTGAGATCACGACGCCAGCAGAAATCAAGAGTCAGATGCTTAACCAATTGAGCCACCCAGGGGGCCCTCGCATTTTTTTAAATTAAAAAAAAAATTGAAGTTAACATACACTCACAGAAGTGCACAAATTGTGGGTATACAGTCTGTTGAATTATCATAAAGGGAACATAAGAGTGTAGCTACTTCCAGGCTAAGAAGCAAACCATTCCTAGGGGCTCGCCAGCTCCTGGGAGGCTTCCTCCCAGTAATCTCCCCCCTCCCTAGCAGTAACACTCTCCTGACTTTCAATGCCACCCTCCAAGGATGTTTTTACCCCTATTCATTCAACTAGTATTGGTCAGCCGTTTGGAAGACTGGCTTTTCGGGGTGGTGGTAGCATATTTCTAGGTAGGATTGAGGGATCCAATCTAATTAGTGACTATTATCTTTATTATCTGTTTGAGCACATCAGTTTCATTGCAGAGCAGATGGATCCGAGCCAGAATCTCTCTGCCGCCCAACACGTGAGAAATCAGTGGCCACCTGGCTGGCCCTGGGTGTGGAGCCGCCTGACCAGTCTGGTGGCAAAGCAGCCTCTGCCCGCCTGTGCTCAGGGCCCTCCCTCTCTGCCATACAGCCTCACCCCTGCAGGTGGTTCCAGTGCTGGGCAAACTGGATCTTTCTGGGTTGGGGGTGGGGAACAGGTATAAAACCTGTTTTGGCTCAAAAACAAGACGGGCATTTGGTCTTCATATTATTTCTAATGCAACTTCCATGACCTGAAAAGGAGGCATATAGTTCCCATCCCCGCGCCTCTTAAATCATCAAAAGATCTTCGTGGAGAGGCATGGGGCAGCTGGTTTTCTAAAACACCAGCTCTGCCCTGAAATGTCCTCAAAATCTGACCTATCTGTACCAGCATGCACCCAGAAAACATGACATTTTGCTTTCTAGCTTCTCGGCAAAATCTTTGCGGGAATTCAGGCCGGGTAGCTCAGGGACAAGTACGAATTCTACCTGTCACGCTCCAAGAGCTGACTGTGACCTCCCAGCTCCCGGCCCAGGAAATAGCCAGTGACTTCGGCGGGGACAGAGGGGGAGCGAGTGTGAGCGGTCCTGGAACAGAGTGGCCATGGGCTCAGCCACATCCTTTTGTGGTAATCATCCTCAGCAAAATGGACTGAAAAGATATTCTTATGACGGGCTGGCTTCTAAATCAAAGCCATGCTGAGTAACAGCAGAGTAAATGTATGATTGGTAATTTCCTTATGGCGCAACGTAGAACAATCTCTGGCTGAGGCCCAGGGCCTAAAAAGAATTTTCTTTCAGTAGAAAAGAAAACAGCATACTGTCTTTATTCCAAAGCCAAAGCAATGGGTTGCGGCCTTCTTCCTGTGCAGAAACAGTCCTGCTTTTTCAGGAAAAGGGAAAGGGATAGATGGGCTTAGGAAAACACTGCAGAGCTGCCTGCTCAATCGCTGTCCCTCACATACCGCCCCCCCCCACCCCTGCGCCATGGCAGCCGTGGCTCCTGGCCTTCTAGAACGGACTGCTCCAGAGTTGCAGAAATGCCACCAAACATGGACAAAGACCACGCAGAGGCCATGTTGGCTCCTCATACACCCAAGATAAAAGACTAGGCATCGTGTTTCTTGTTTTGTTCCGGCTCTCTCCACCCCTCCTGACTTGGGTTTGGAAAACAACTATGGTAGTGCCTCGTAATTCGGGAGTAAAACCATTCTCAGCGTGGACCAGAGGCCACACTGAGAAACACCGGGGTGAGGCCCAAAATCGGCATTTCCCCCCAGCTCCTACCATCAGTTCCTATACATGCAGTGAAGGCAGAAGTTCCCACAAAAGCATCATGAAAATCAAATTCTCTGCTTGCAGAGAATTGCTCTCCCGGCAGCAAAGAACCCATTAGGACGGGATCCCATCTGCGAGGGTTAGCCCGTTACCTGCAGTATTTCAGGGCCACAAAAGTTGGGGGTAAGTTCCCCTTAGCGTACGGGCAACTTACACGCAACACTTGGTTTATCAGGGGGGACTTGTCTAGACAGCACGCTCCTGGCACCCCCCTCAACCCCCGCCACCCCTGCATAAGGTTTAGTCCATTATTTAATGTCACAACAGCGGCAGGATGAGCCATGTTTCACTTTCTTAACGTTAAAGTCTCAAAGTTCCCACTGCTCTATTCCTTCTGTCTCGGGGAGGATGCTGGCCTTCGGCTTCTAGTTTTCCAGCGCAAGGCTGTCTGAAAAAAGAGACTGCCTGTCACTTAAAGGTTTAGGCTTCTCTTCACGTCAGCCAGAAAACAAAATCAGGAGTCTCCAGCCCCATGCCGGCCTCATTCGGGGGCCTTGCCCGAGTGTCTGGCCACATATCCCTTTATGGACTCACACCTCAATAAGCAGCAGCTGAAGCAATGGGGGAGAATCAGGCTGGTTTATATAATGTGCCAAGATCCCAAGATAAAACGCCTTCTAAGTGCCCGGTGTTAGCAGCATAAACAAGGCCTACGCCCGCAAACCCAGAAGCGAGGTACGGATTGAACAAGACCTCCCTCCGTGATAAAATCGCTCGTTCGGTTTTGTAAAATTAAGCATAAGAAATCTGAAATGGAGCACAAAGGTGTAAGAATTCATTTTCTCATGCACTGACATCACGAGTGCCTTCCTTTTCAAACAGAACAAACCTTCCAGGACCTCAAACAACCTGAGAGATGTCCCTGCTCCAAAGGCATGCCATGCCGTCGAGGGGCAGAAAACTCACAAACCTACTTTGCTTCAAACACAAATGCTCTTCTGCCTTAATTTATTGTGCTATTTCAGGTCTGAAGGAGCCTGAAAAACTATGCGAACTGAAATTGAGCCCTGACCCCAGAGCTAGCGGATCTGTCCTGGGACAGACAGAGGTGCTCATGCCCCTAGGTAGCTATGACCTCACTTTAATGGTTCAAGGAAAGAGGATGGCCCTTCTGCCCCAGATGTCCCGCCATGGGCCTGGGCGAGGGGGAGGGGGGCATTTCTTACCGCCCCAAGTTGGCCTCAATTTCGAGCACCGCTTTTTACAGCTCCTCTGAGTTCTTCTCTAAACGACGCATTCCTCCCAGCCTGTGAAACAAGCCTTCTAGGAAAGGCACTGTGATACACACCTGCTGGAAAAAATCTGTCCTCTGGTCCCTTTTTTGAGCTCAGCAGTGCATGAACAGATGAGAGGAAGGAAAGAGGAACAGAGAAAGGTGTGAGAAAAGCCTCCGTGATATTTCTCCCGTGTACCTGGCTCTCGCAAACAGCCCGGGTTAAAATTCACCACCAGTGACCGTGCCCAAACACCTCATTTTGGCCTCCATGCTTCTTCATTTGAATGAGGTGGACTCAGTCCCCTTTACTTTGTAAAAGGGACTGCAAGGCAGGTGCCGTCACCCAGCAGGTACACCCAAAACGAGGGCCAGAGGCCAGTGCCCTGTACCTGAGAAGAGCTCACTCGTTGCCTCCGCTTGGAGATTACCTGTCTGATGAGCTGCTTGCCTAATAAGGTCTTAAAATTTTTGACGCTTGACGGGCAACCTGAGTACCGGGCAGAGCTGTGCGAACAGAGCCGTGTTCTCCTCTCGGCCAAGTGCAAGACCAGCGGGCCGGCTCTCCCCGCCCATGCAGTCCATCAGCCCGGCTTCCGGGGCCGTAAGTCAACAGGGCCGGGCAGACAGCTGTCAGAGACGGAGCGGGGACACGCACAAGAGCTTAATGAAATTTTATTTTGAAAATATGGCAAGAGTCTAAGGCACTTCAAACATTTAAATACATATAAGACCAAAGTAAATGTGACATGGTAGAAAGGAATCCATAAATATGTAGAGAACTACACTATGTTTCCCTAGAGGCAAATATACTGCCAACTCCCCTAACAAGATCCAACCTTTGCCATCGGATGCGGACTCGGGTGATGATTAATGAAAACATGGCAACGTTACACGTAATTCCTCTTGTCTCAATGACTATGGAATACAAAAGTTGAAAATACTGTGTCCATTTTATATAGATACCTTTTATATAAAAAGTCATATAATACATCCACCTAGATTAACCCAACTGAAAAGACTTCCTTTCGTAAGTTTTCTACTTTTCGAGAGTTCCACTTTTGATTTTGAAACCAGAAACCTACCAGGCCCAGGCCCAAGGTGCTGACGACCAGTCATCACCACTGCCTTACTTGAGAAGAGTAAACACACACACACAAATCAAGAAAACCGTCCTGGAATGGAATCTTCAGAGAGCTTTCCAGTGGCTCCACGTTAAGTCAATATAAATACTTGTGGAACATTTTTAAAAATGTCCAGCCAGTGAGAAGCTGATGCTTCCCGGCAGTGGCAAGGTGGGGAGAGACTAGGACTGTACATAACGGAGCAGAGACTCGACAGCCACGGAGCCGGGGTGAGCACGCCCAGCGCAGAGGGAAGACAGCCAGGAGGGAGGTGGCATGTGCCCGGCGGCCGGCTCCCGCCGGCTCGGCTTCCACCACGCAGCTCCAGGCGCCAGGCCTCCCGTTCTGCGTGCTGGTGAGCTCAGGCACAATACATATACATTCAGTATCTATCACCCCAACAGGAACAAGTAGCAGCTTAACGGTGGCATGTAAATGGATGGCTATTTGCATCTAATCAATCAAATGAACTTCGGTGGGTGGGACCAGGAGATGTCTTCCTTCCAAGCCTAGGGGTGCCCTAGAGACCAGGAGAGGAGAAAAAAATGGGGGGTTAGTAAGTGACCTCAGGCAGATGCATCCTCTGTGACCGAGGAACTCCGTCCAGAACAGTTGACAACCACCTGTGCACAGAGCGCGGACCCCTGGCACATGGGATACAGACCCGGTCTGCTGCGCCGTCCTGGGAAGTCAGCGTCCTGCTAAGGGCGGACTCGCGGACCACAGGTCGCTGCTCACAGTGTGCCTTAAGAAAAATGCCAGGGACGTAGCAGTATGTATTCATGGGCGCCCCAGGTGCCATTTGGGTAATTCTGCCCAGAACTAAACCCTTTATGTATGTGAGCGTCTGTCTCCTGAGGACGAGCAGAGGTCAGCTCTCCTGGCCGCCTGGGGGAGCAAAAGTCACGAACCCTTAAGTTCCAGACTAACACTCCCCATTTCAGAAGCCTCAGAAAACCTGCATCTCCTGTCAACTCTCTGAAGAAGGGGGCCCACCGGTCTGGTGGACGTGAGCCTGTTCATAAACGGCAGATGCACAACACTGACCGGAGACTGGGCCTTGGCGAAGTTGACGTGGGCGTACAGAAGCACCGCGATGTCCTTGTGTCCTGCCTCCAGGGCTATCGAGAGCGCGGTGCTGCCGTCCTAAAGAGAACATGGAGAAGAACAAGCCGGGGTGGGTTTCTCAAACTTCCAGACAGCCAAAAGGGAGCAAAACAAATACTCTCCAAGAACTGTTAAGGTTCCCCAAATCGGTTCAGTCCTTCAGCAAACTTTTCTGGACCTCTGCGTGCGAAGCCCTGAGGCTACCATGAGGCACCGCGCCCACCCGAGCGGAGTCGCGGTCGGAAGACAGTCACCTCATCCCCACCATGCCTCACAGTGGATAGTGTGGAGGTGCGGGCCCCGTGCACCCTCAACATAGGCTGCCCGCCACGGACTCACCCCACTACTCTTTCCACCAGCTGTGGGCCATGGGAGAAGATGGGGTAGAAACCTAAGTGTCTGTGTTTATCTTTACAGTGAGCAAGCAGTACCACAGGGTATGTTTGGATACCCTGCCACTTGCCAACGACCTTTTAACGTTGCCCTTGGGGAGGGAGCCGATCCTCCGGCCCTAAGCACCCCTATCGCCCGCTGCGAACACCATCCATGCACAGTCACTGAATCCTGCTGCCTTGCAGAAATGCATCGTATGAAAATCCGAGGGGAAATACTAAATATGGGGGAAGTCAAAGTTTCCAGTTACGTGTTTGGCTTCCATGAACTTGCAGGGCTTCGGATGCATGTCAAGGAGGGAGAAGGCCAAACTCAGAACCATTTACTTTCTGTCTGGTCTTGGAATGAGGATGCCCTTCTGGTCACTAGCAGCAGGAAACAATTCTCTTGTGGTCGGCATCTTACGGTCCTTCCCTCCCACTCGGAATTCTCGGAGGGACCTGCCCTCCCTCTCCCCTCCTCCTTCCTTCCTCCCACCTTCCTGAGGTGACCAGCATTTCTGGCAGCCACTTGTGGCTCTGGGGCCTCTTATGACTACATCTATGGGCTATTCTTGGCTAAGAGACAGCAGAAGTAAGAGCAAACAAACAAAAATCAAGATACATGCCACACACACTGTTCTCGAGGAAGGGTAAGTTGGAAGCACTCCTTCTGCTCCCGCCGAAGTTAGGAGCATGGGGGACGTGCAGCTTCTTCACCCCTGGGGAGGCGTCTGCCACATGGAAGCCCGCTGTCGGCCCCCCGGTCCTGGGTACGAGTAAACGCCTGCACTGGTTTGCTCTTCCTGCTGGCCTGGGCCCACCGGGATCTGTTGCTTAGTGCCCAAAAAGTATATTTTCCTTCTAACTTTTTAGTGTTTTGAGCTGAAGGAAGCTCTGGGCCAAACCTGTGCTCCATGGAGACAAACTTTCCAAAGCAGAACCAACCCAACCTGTCCTGTGTGACCTCTGCACTTCAAACCACAGCTCCAACCAAATATTAGTTCCTGTGCCTTCACCTACTGGTACTCCTCCCCTTTGGCCTGGAGACATGCAGAGGCCGCTGCTTTCCTTACAATGTTTCCCAGGCGAGGGGTTATCTGCAACAGGGACGGCTTGGGAACGGGGAGAGAAGACTGGGGTTACAATGATGGAACAGCCAAGGCAGGAGCCGGGAGATGTGCTCGAAGGCGCCGGATGGTCTGGAGGGTCGGGCTGATGAGATACACGAGTGATTCCCTCTGAGGGGCCCCAGTGAGGGGCCGCTTGCCCTCATTTCGGGGGTGGGGACAGCTGGCTCTAGTCATTTAGTAGTTCCGGCCCAGAAGAGCTAGCAACCCAGCTTTCCCAATGCTCCGGGGACCCGGTCCTCTCTTCTTCGTGGACCTGCAAGATGCCTGCACTCAGTCTGCTCTGGGTCGTCAGTCTGCGTTTTCCCCTGCTGCACACTGGCTCTCCGACGAGCTCATCACCCTCCTCCTGCAACGAGCGTGGGCGCTGAGGCCTCATCGGCCTGCCTTTGGCTCTAGTTCCTGGGAGAGTGAGTTTGCACGTAGGCAATGCTGCCGTGCTGGGCCAGGAAGGGCGGCGGCCGGGACCACAGCACGAGGTCCCCAGCGAGTAGCACGGAGAACGGGCCCTTTCCCCTCTGCCAAGGGGTCCTGCAGAGCCCCAGCAGGCAGCCCCGTGGAGGCCGCGTCGCTCACTTACGTTGTCCTCCAGGTGGCCGTTGCAGCCCGGCTGGGCCAGCAGCAGCTTGACAATCTCCGCGTGCCCGTGCTCGCTGGCACACATGAGCGCCGTGGAGCCCTCATCGTCCTGGATGTTGACGTCAGCCCCACAGGCCAGCAGGCCCTTCACCATGTCGATCCGCCCGTGGCTGACGGCCAGCATGAGGGCTGTCTGACCTGCCTGTGGGGAGGAGTGGTGGGGCCCATCAGCGGCACAGCACAGACCGGCCGGGGGGCAGCCTGCCCGGGGCGGGGGCGGGAGGTGGGGGGACGGTGGGATGACAGACGGGACAAGACAGATGTGGAACGAATCTGGGGCTGGGTGGTGGCCGGCACGGAGAAACAGTTTCTTGTTCTGAGCGCCACCAAGCTAAGTAAGATCATCAAGTAATGTGTCAGTGTTCCCCTGGAGCTGGGAGGACCTGTCTCCTTAAAGCGAGGAGCCGGGAAGGTCAAAGGTGCTTAGAAGTCCAACCAGCCCGGGGCCACTGTGTGCCCGGCATGAAGACACTACACTGTGCAGATAGGAACGAGCCGGGCAGATGGCGGGCACTCCCAGGCCCTCTGAGGCGGGCTGACCTACAGGGCACGTGCACCCCACTCCGAACAGAGGTAGCGCGCAAGGCCAAGGAGGGGGACGCCCGCCAGGTGACTCTGAAGCCGCTACTTCACCAGCAGGTCTGGTCAGCCAGGGCGGCCGGGCAGCTGCGGGGACGCGGGGCACATGCTCAGGGTACGGGCCGGGCGCGGACCTTGGAGGCAAGTGTGCTCACCTGGCTGGCTTTGGCGTTCACATCCCCGCTGCCGAAGAGTTCTTCCACGACACGCATGTCCTTCTCGGCTTCCACGGCGGCGAGGGCTGCCAGCATGATGGGGGTGTAGCCCGCCTTGTTCTGGTGATCCACGTTGCACACGTCTGCAGAGACACGAGTCTCGTCAGGGAGAAACCTTCCTACAGCAACCCTTCTCGCCATGGACCAAAGGAACAGGGCTGGGAGGAAGCCTGTGAAACGGCCCCTGGGGCTCCACGTCCCAGAGTGACTCAGAAGGAACTGCCAGAGACCGTTTCATACTCAACGAAAGGATACAAGGTTTTCTTGTGTCGTGTGAGGCCAGAAGCAGCAAAGTGAGAGCAAGCCTTCACGGCACCTCTTGTTAGCAGCTGGTGGCTGGACCGCAACGGCCTGGAGCGCTGGGGCGTTGTTCTAAGTAATGGCGGCTTCAAAGAGTCCACATAATGTGGGATGTGGATGTTCGTCTGTGTTTGGGGGATCACGATTATGGAATGAAGGAGGCAGGGAGAGCTACGAATATGACGGATCTGTAAAGGCTTCTGTAGAGAACCCGATGGCATCACCCACTCAGAGATCACGACTCATTCAGAGACCCTAAGTTTGCTCCTCTGACTTGTTTGGGGCCTTGGAAGCCCAATTCCAATCCCATGACACCTAGCTAAGCTGTTCTTAGAACTGCGGTCTGAGAGCAAATGCAGTGAGAAACTGCCAGGGACTAACAGACACAACAGATCAGGAGTTTTCTATTCCTGTAATTCTTAAGGAGGCACTGGGGGCTCAGCGATCCTTTTTAAAATTCCTTTAGCACTTTCTAATAAAATGAAAGGAATGCAGAGTGCAGGAAAGAAGCTTTCATGTGTGACCATATATAGTTAAAATGTTCAGGATGTTTCTATCGTAAGGAGTGAGAAGATACCGTGCAAACTTGCCTTAAGCTCAAAAAATAACTGCACAGTAGGGACATGATGGCATTTACACAAAGGGCATGTTTTTTAACTTAGAAAAGGAGAAAGAAAAAGCTCTGTGATGGAGAAGCATGTGAACCAACGAGCTCTCTGAGGCTCCCCATCATCTGTGATGTGCGGTCGTTCACGGAGGCTGCGGTCACTACGTTCACCCACACGCTGGACGGAGCCCCAGCCTCAACCTATAACGATGGGCAGCAGAGGGTCAAGTATATCCAGTAGGGTGATTAACCAAAACCCTTTAATTTACCAAAACCCTTTAATTTACCAAAATATCTTGTCCACACAAATTTTCCAAGGGTAGGTTAAATTGTTACTTTCAAGAGTAATTGGAAATCTTGTTTTTGGCTCTTCTGGATATTATCCACTTCTCTGTTTAAACAACAACGTCGGGGGGGAGCACCTGGGTGGCTCAGTCAGTTGGGCGTCTGCCTTTGGCTCAGGTCATGATCCCAGGGTCCTGGGATCGAGTCCCACATCGGGCTCCCTGCTCCGCGGGAAGCCTGCTTCTCCCTCTCCCTGAAGCTTGTGCTCTCTCTCTTGCTCTTACATAAATAAATAAAATCTTTAAAAAAAAAAAATAAACAACAATGTGGGCTGACAGTATCACCAGCTCTGTTTCTAGTCTGGAAAGTCTAAAGGGAAGGAGGGTTGGAATTCCTTCCTCTAAGATGGAAGCAGTTTTAGCCTAACATATTCCCATCTGTTGTGAATAAGCAAACTTAGAAGGGATAAATCTTGCTTGGTTACTTCTCTGCGTTAATCTAATTTCCCCAAAACGGAGTAGAAGAAATTAGTGAGTTGGACCAAGAAGCAGTATGGGGAAACCGGACAATTTTACTGCACATGCTAAATCAAAGTTTCACATTGTGTGCTCGCTAATTTAAGACCAAGGTCCTATAAATTCTGTATCAGTCACATACTAGAAGTAAAAATATGTATTTCAAAAATAAATCAGAGTGACTCGGGGACTGTATGTACCACTGGGCTACATATTTGAACAAAAAGTTTAAAGTTCGCCATTTTCCAAGGGGACCCTTCCATGTAGCACTCTCTTGCTTCGTGTATCAGACATGCAGTGGCTATATTCTGGGATGGGATGTTCCAATTATAAACAAGGGTTTTCACTGTTCTCATTACTGGGGTTCAGATACAAGAACAACACTTTCTTCACTCTACGCGGAGTCCCGAGTAACAGGGTCTATTTCGGTGGGAATGGTTACAATTCTACTATAATTTGTTATAGTGGCTTTGTGGTCCCCATCTCGGCTAGTGGCACACCTCTGCAAGGCCGCTGGATGGGGTCGTGGAGCAAGGGCAAGGAGAGCAGCCTGCAACCACCGAAGCTGACGCGGGTCCTGGGAGCAGCACTCTGGCTTCTGAGAGCGCACTCGCCCCGCCAGGGTCTGATTCAGCTCGGGAGGGACCCCGAGGCACGCTCCTCACCAGGGAGACACCTCGCCTGAACGCAGCTGAAACGCAGCAAGAATAGCCTCACAACCTCCTTTCAAAACGGACCTGGAGGCCGTGTGTCCCAGCTGTTTACAGGTCAAGCCTCCCACCAATGACTCAAGAAGGGTATCGTTGCCGCAGCGCGTGGAAAAGCAATGGGGAAGGGTGTGGGGTGGTCCCAGCACTGAGGAGCGGGTCAGCCGGCTTCTCTGAGCGGAGTCATCGCCTGAGTGCGGTCAGGGGAGAGACCAGGGCAGCGCACGCACCAGCGTCCAAGAGCAGCTTCACGATCTCGAAGTTGGAGTGGGACACGCTGTAGTGGAGGGCCGTGTTGCCGTTGCCGTCTGCCATGTTGATGATGTGGCGGAGGACGTCTGGGGAAATGGCCTCGAACGCCGCTATGTAGTCGCCCACCATGGCCGGACTGGCTGACTTCTGACTGGACACACGGAACCACTCGTGCTGCAGGGTGTTCAGACAGAACCGCTGCCAAAACACCAGCAAGTGGCCGTTAGTTCTATTTATAGCCCAGCTGAAAGCCCGAGAAATGAGGCCTTTTATAGTCAGCGCACGCAGCGAGAATCGGCTCTCAAAGAACAATGCATGAAACCCGGAGCCCTAAGAGGAGCCTCAAACTCCAAACTGGAGAACCGCTCCTGACTTTCAACCACAGACATTTCTAACTTCTGTAAAAGAGTCTGTGCAGCACTGTTCAGGGGCTCTACCTGCAAGGATCCAATTCTGTCTCTGCTACTTGTGAGCTGTACTCTCCTGGGGAAGATACTTACTCCATGCCTCAGTTTGCTCATCTGCAAAACAGGGGTAATAAACATACCTTTTCCCCACAGTGCTTGTGATGAGAACAAATGAGGCAATACACATAAAAACACGTAGGCCTGGCTTCATTGATTCTTGAACGATTAATATTAAGTAATTATGCTGGCCCTGCATGTGATTTTCAGAGTACTCAGGACAGAAGAAATTACCTCACCCACACTGAATTTATGCTGCTTTCTTCCTATCCAGACCACCCTTAACTCCTTCAACATCCCCACAGCACTGGGCTGAAAGACCATGAGGGTGTAGCCAACCCAATTCCCACTCCAATCCCAAAGACAAATGTTCAACCATGGAAAGGGATTAAAAAGCAAGTTCGAAACAAATTATATTTCTCATTTAGAATCATCTGCATCTGACCATGAGCCCCGTGCATGCCTTCCCTTAGGCTGTGGACACATGAACATGGGCCTTATTTCAGGAGCAACCAAGTCAAACCCGGACCATGTGAAGTTCAAGGCAGACTGCCCATGACCACTGCTGGTGACCGGAGGAACTAGAATGCTTCTTCCATGAGCCCTTTTTACACGAGTTTACCGTTTATCTGTGCTTTGCTTACTCCTGAAAGGTTTAGAAATAGACCAAAGAAAGACGGAAAGCCTATGTCAACAGCACCAGAACCCAAGAGGTCCCCTTCCTACAGAGAAGTGGGAGCTGGAATTGTACTGGCTTCTGTATCTTTATCGTCCAGCTACTGATGATTCGGTTTTAGCCCATTCAATCATATTCTGCGGGACTTGATGAAAAGGGTCCTGGGGTGGGAAAAAAATTCATCTAATGTTTTCTTCTGCTCATTCTTCTACATATTCAGGTTCCTACCTCTCTGAAGTCCGTCCTCAAATGGAGAGAGGGGAATTTGTGTCGTTTGGGTGTTGAATTGTTACTGCCGTGTATGTGGTGTCCTGTTATGCATACTGGCCCCGGCACTGTGATTGTTCGTGTGTGTCTACCACTTTTCATGGCACAATTCCTTCAACGCATTTTCATCAAATGAGTTCAGTTTAACCAAAAAGGAACTGACCACGGAGTATGTGCGTGACAATATGCTTGGCAATCTGGGGCCAGAGAAATGGATGGTCCTCCCTGAAGACCACATGACCTGGTATTTTGAGAACGGTCAAAATTATTCTAGCTATAAGATCTAGGGTCCAGAAGCACCACTTTTAAGTTCAGGTTCAACCTCGTGGGAAATATTAACACTGCAGTGACATTTCACGGTTTTGCTCTCTTGGGACTGAGGCGTAGACAGAAATTTAGTTTATACTGAAGGAGTTCTGGGTCCACCCCCACCCCAGGCCAGGGATTTTATTTCGTATTTGCTTCTGTAAACATCACCACCGTGTGCCTTTCTCAGCTTGCTAATTTAACGTCAAGACACAGCTGGCTCTGAGAAATTTAAGTTTCTATAGCAATGGAAACAAATATGAGGCACAACCGTAATTTTAAAAAAGGATGCCGTATGATAAGGTAGTATGATTCAGAAAGGATAAATTAAAACATGGACCAGTATTCGAGAAGTATCACCTAGCCCCAGTACTAATGAGGAGCTAGTTAACTAGCTCTGGACAAGACTCCTCATCTTCAGGGCCTCAGTTAAAACAGAAAAGACCAGGACAGGGTGGCCTCACAGGTACGCACGCCCACGCACCTCACACCTGTGACAACAGTCCCAGTTCTCCCTCAGATTGTGCGTGTTGTCCACGAGGAAAATGGTGCCTTTCCAGCATGAGGGGATCCCTGAAGTCCCTTCTAGTTCTAACATTTTGGTTTCATCACTCTACAATCCTGTGAGACTTTCTCACTCGCTGCTGACTTGGGTTATGCAGCAGAAAACTCCACGTTGATGAGGTGCCGAGATTCAAATGCCAACTCTGTCTAACGTAACAGGAGAACCTACGTTTTCTCAATGTGCTGAAGAGAACTGTCAACCAGAGGGCGGGTCTGACCTGGGAGAGAAGCCGCACCTCAAAACTCCACCAGCCCCATGAGGGAGAGCGACACACTTCGCCATGGTGTCCGCTTCACCGTCGCCCCAGAAATGCTCATCTGCCCTGGGCCGTGTCCTTCCTGTCCCTGAAGCAACCACCAGCATCACTGCTGTGAGCTTCCGAGTCTCTCAAACTGGGCACAGATGACAAGTGCAGTGACTCCGAAGTTTAAAAATAGCGGCCGCCCGCATTCCACACGGGAACATAACACGCACTTTCATAATTGAAAGGAATGCTAACCTCGGCCCAGATAGGCTGCTTTTTAAAAAACCAGAGGCCAACTTTAAAAACAAAAAAACCCAAAAAATAAAACACAACAACTCTGGTGGCTCTTCTCCCCGGATCACAAGGTTCTGGGAGCGGAAGCAGAATATGTCAAAACCTGACGGCTGACTGCAATTAGCCCTCCCTCCTGTGTGCAAGTATGTGCCTCACAGAGGGTTCACTGCCGAGAAAAGTACAGGGTGGGGATGTCCGCTGCGGGGCCTGAGGTTAACGTGCAGTGTGAATAGGGCAACGTGAGGCTCACTCTGCTTACACGAGCTAGAGATAGTTCGGGGGCAAAGCGTGTGGGCAACAAGAGCTTGGGGGCAGTCTAGACAACCTGACTTTGGTGTCCACTCGGGTAATTTGTACAGACAGGGTACAATGTCTGGTGGGCAGACTCACCATATCCTTGCTGGTCAAAGCTTTGGGGTCATTTATATTATTTTTCAGTAAGTTGCAGGCAGACAACATCTTTTCACTTAATTCGTACCTATGACAAGATAAAAGAAAGAGAGCTCACGATTGGCCACCAAAGGAAAGTCATTTTTATTGCAAACTCTATGGCCCTTTAAAAGACAAGAGGCCCCAAGTGGACCTCAGCAGGTTCGTGGTGGAACAAGGTGCTTGCCTGGAGGTCAGAGCAGGCTTCCTTAGGCGTCCGAGGACATACAGAACCAATGTCTCCACCCAGAGCTCGGGCCTTTCCGTATGGGCAGCTTTCAGCTTCACCTGTTTGGCCTTTATGACATTATGGAATAACCTGTGGAACTTTTTTATTCCTTTTATTCTAAGTTCCCAAAAATGCTTCTACCCTTAAGGGGTTGAAGAGGTCAGAATTACCACAGATCCATTATGCTGACCAGCAAACCACACATCTGCACTCAGAAAGTGTTTAACCCCCATGAAAATCTAAACTGAAAAATCAGATGACATACGGTAAATAAATGATAGCTCAATAAAGCTGTTTAAAAAAAAAAACAAAAACAAAAAAACCCAAAACCTAGATGACAAGATCCTGAGCCATGTGAAAATACTTGGAAATATAAACTAGAAACACTTACCTTGTGTTAATGCAGTTAAACTTTCATTTGCAAAATTAAACAGAAGTTTTCTGAAATGTTCTATTTATACTCCACATAGTGAAAAACCATCTTGAATTTTCCATCTGTTCTATTCTCTGTTTTATAAGCATTGATTCCACATTTGCTAGCAGTCTTTAAAATTTGATACATCGTTAGGTATGTGTTTCAGCCAACCACAGTGTTTATTGGGTATTTCAGCTGCTGCTTTGGAGACTCCCAAACCCATTCTTGTGGTGTTCCCTATCACTCAGTGAGCAACAAAATGCAGACATGTGACTGATTACATCATCTTTGAAGTGAATGTGATCTTCAGCTGGGGCTAAAAGACCGCTCCTTTCACACACAGCGATCCTATAAGAACAGTACTGACCTGTATCAAGATGAATGGCCAATGATAAAATCTGAAATCTTAAAAGACATGTGCTGGCCACACAAAATTCTAACATTGCCTTCAAATACAAGGTGGGTTGTCGGAACACTGAAAACTTTAACGACACGTAATAGTTCTGTGGATGGTGGCTCCACACATAAAATTAGCTAGCAAACACATTTAAAGGAAGCAAAGGTGGCAGCCTGATCAGGTCCTTCTCTTTGCTACTCTGAGAGATCTAGGAGTTCTCTCCCTCCGCACCTGTGTTTATCAGCATCACGACACGACGGTCGTACCTCTGAGGATGAAATTTAGCTCTCCTTTGGGGATCGGAAAGACCCAACCAATAGTTACAATGGCGAAATCTCCTAATCGGCCAGTTCTCTTGCCAAAGGCACAATGAACGTGGGAAGGGTTAGGGAGGGGAGGGGAGTGTACCACACCTCTCTCTGATTTCCACCTTCTCAGGTTCACATTCTGGAACCTGCATCTCATCTTCCACCCTGGCGGACTTGAAACCTTCAATATTAACGGCATGGTGCCCTTCCGCCATTCCCCGAGTGTCTTCATCCTTCTCTTCCTCCTCCTCTTCCTCGGGAGGGTACTCAATGACATCACACTCGTCATCTGACTCGGAGGAAGAGCTTTCATCTGAGCTGGAATCATCACTTGAAGTTGTTTCATACCTAGGTGGCAATTGGGAGTTCAGGAGATGCAAGGTGTGCCCAGAAAGACCCCGTGACCGAAACTCTTATGCAGGGAAAGCGGCTGACTGACTCCAGACATCTGACTGTGGTTGAGACCCTGCATTTAGAAGTTCAAAGTAAGGTCTACTTAAAAATCTGGTGGTTTCAAATGGGTTCTGGCTTAAAAGGCATAACTTGAGTTGCCAACTGGTATCATTATACTACTTGTAGGAAAAGAAAATATGTATATATATATAGCACTTCTGGCTTAGGATAAATCAAAGGAAATTTACTTCATGAAAGCCAGGTCTGCAGTGGTTCATTTCTTTCTGTTCCTTCTTTTTTCTTTTCCCTTACATTCTTCCTATTTTGCTCCATTAATTGTTCCCATGTCATGGTGAACAGATTAGGTAAGTAATCGATAGTTCCTCTGGCACACGCCCTCCAAAAACTCCTGGGCCACACTACCTAACTAGACTTCAAAGATTCAGGAAATAGGCTCCATTAAGTTAAATCTTTATGTAATGCTTTGCCATAAATATTATTGCAACTAACCGCATTATTGCTTTCTTGTTGAGGCCGAGGCTATATATGGATTAATAGATTAGCTGTTCTGCTTCAACTGCAGGATGACAAACAGGCTTCACTATTTATCTGACCCAGTGAGAAGGAATAAAGAGCTAACAGACATTCTATTTAGAAAGCAAAGAACTGAAGGCACAGCTGGATTACTGGTCAAGTGAAAGGCCCTACAATTTTGTATGTAAGCACGGAAAGCCAAACAAAGTAACCCATTTTGAAGGAGTGGATGACCATCACCAGCCCGTGGAGCGATGCTCTCGCCTCTTTCTGTTTGTTCCTGAGTCTGGTACAGGTAAGAACAAGTTGTCCAACTCCGCGGGACACTTGTCGCCTGCTACTTTTGTTGAAGACTACTGTTTTCAGATCAGAGGTGGGAAGATGTAAACTGCTCAGCGTCATCAGGTGTCTTTTCAAGAGTGACACATCCTTAAAGATAGCAAGGAGAAGAGAGGAGCCCAAATGCACCCTTCTGAGGGGATCTTCCGTCACCAAGATGTGGCTGAAGCCCAGCCTGGGCACCTTGAAATGGGACTTGAGGAGACAGGAGGCGAAGGAGACAGACACACCATGTACAGACTGACTGGTAGCATCTTTCCTTACCCTCCGTTAATGCCAACAAACTGAAGATTCTTCTTTGCTCCATTTGAATCTTTGTTGCCATCTTTCTTCTTCATGATAGACTTCAGTGTGCTTTCATTGTTTGTACATACTGCAAAAAAGGGAATCAAGGTGAGCAAAATTAACACAACTCATACCCATGCAAGTTAAGGGACCAAGAAATCTTTCTTCATGTTCATTTTTTTTTCTCATTCATGTAAATTTAGATCTTGGCACTTGCATATGAGAAGCGTGCACAAAATCCACTGGAAAGATGTATGCATGTAAAGAAAATAATTTGAAGTTCTCTAAATGGGGAAAAAAACCCATTAGTACTTCCAAACATAACAAAAGCACTGACAACTAGCATTTGCATCAGGCTTCACTGTTTATAAAGTGATGTCATAACTTATTCGGGCCTCAAGAACCACTTAGGCACTAAAATGGGGATTATTATTGTTCTTTTCCTTCAGCTGAGATAATCTGGGAAGAAATTATGCCTGCCAGACTGCGAAGGAGTGCAATGCTACTCAAGATATTTCATAATTCACAAAATCAGATGAGTTTTCTTCAGGGGACGGCACACTCCTTTCTTTAGCAATTTTTTTAAAGATGTTCTAGGCCTACCTTCCTAACACTTCCAGGTCAACCTATGAGACACTCTGACATAAGACAGGGGCACTGGCAGTGCTGGTCCTAGAATCCTGGCTGAGAAGGTCTGAGTGAGGAAGGTTACCATAGAGGCCGGCGGCTATCTGGTCGTCCGTCAGGTTCACGGGGGACAGCGTGCTTTCCTGAGAGGGGAAGGCGTCCTGGCCGCGGAGGGGTGTCCCTTCCACGGTCTCCACTGCTTGCTCAGGCGGGGAGGTCTGGGTGTGGAACGGAGTTCCTGCTTGAAGGCCTCCACACTTACAGGTGTATTCCAAACCACTGCCTGTCAGGAAGGAGACGGGGGTAGAAGCATGTGATGTTAAGACCGAACGAAAGGGGCTAAACTTTTTTTGTGTTTGTTTGTTTGTTTTTAGTTTTTGCAACTCATCATTTTCTCAAATGCTTTTCTCCCTGTGTTTTCCTTTTGCATATATGGCCGTACTATGGAAGCCACCCAGACTCAAACCCCAAGGCCTTCCTGACCCTCCACCTTCCCTTTATCACCACATCCGGGTCTGCCCAGACCTGTCCTTCCACCTCCTTCTCTTCCCTCTGCCCTGGCTGCTACCATCCGGGTCTGTTCGGGTCGGGCGGGCAGCACAGCATCCTGACCGTCCTCTTGCTTTACCACGGCCCCTCACACACACAGCTGATGAGCAGAACTCCAGCCCCTCAAATCCCATCGGCACTCTGGCGAAAACGAATCTGAGCAAAGCTAAAAAACACTCCCCTCTGCTCAGGAAATGCAGTCCACGATGCTTAGCCACATACTCTAGACCACCCACAGCCTGACACATCTCATTATGTCTCTACCTTTATTTCCCACCACGCCTGGGGTCCCTTTTGAGGGGAGGACTGCCTCCCAGTCACTGGGATGCTAAGAGTGGGCGTCGCTCATTCTCCTAACAGCACGTCCTAGAGAACGCTCCTCTACCTGGAATGCTTCTTCCTCCCCACCTGCACAGGGTCAAGCCCTCGGTCACCCTCTTCTGAGCCTTCCCTGACCTAACTAAACATGACTTTTCTTTCCCTAACTCCCACAGTCCAGCTCTCAGACCCTCTTACAGGGACCTGGGACTGCCTAAGACTCCCTTCTACTCTGTAAGAATTTTGAGTTCGAATCAACTCTCTCTCCTCACATCTACTAGACTGCTTTTCTGTCTTTCAGGTACTTAATATTGGTTCACTGACTCAAGCAGAAGAATCAGATCAATTCACTGCATATAATTACTGTATCTAGGTGTATCACAGTATCTTTAATGTGGCTGACAATGGAAGATGTTTACAACATATGGTTAAACGAGAAAAGCAGATAATAAGACTCTACGTATGTGATCCTATTAGAAAAATATATAAAAGTTATCTGGAAGCTACGGAGATTTTAACTTTTCTCTGTATTTGCCATTTTTTAGAGTGAATATTAACTGTGTTCAAAATCACTTTAAAAAAATAAGAAAATTCTTTGACTAGCAATTTGCTTCTAGGAATTTTATCCTAAGGATGTACAAAAAGATGCAGATGGATGTTCACTATCTCCATGAGTAAAACGGTGGAAAGAGGCAGATACCACAGTGTGTCAATAAGAAACTAGTGAAATAAGCTCTGGTGCATTTATACAAAGGAATTCTATGCAGCCATTAAAAATTCTGATGTAGGTAAAGATTTTTAGCAAAGAAAGATAAGCATAGTGTGTTAGTGAGTTTTAAAAATACATTATTAGGGGCGCCTGGGTGGCTAAGTCATTAAGCACCTGCCTTCGGCTCAGGTCATGATCCCAGGGTCCTGGGATCGAGCCCCGCAGCAGGCGGGAACAGTGGGAAGCCTGTTTCTCCTTCTCCCACTCCCCCTGCTTGTGTTCCCTCTCTTGCTGTGTCTCTCTCTGTCAAATAAATAAAAATCTTAGAAAAAAAAATAAAAATGTATTATTAAATCGTTTGGAGAAAATAAACGTATTTTGGCAAATAATTATATTTATATGTATGTATGTTAGAAAAAGTCTGGAAGGATACACAACAAACCTATTTAACACTGCTTTTCTAAGGCTAAAGAATTATAGGTTGCTATAATTTTTTTCTTCATGGTGTTGACTTCCTAAATTATGCACTATCAACACGAGTTACTAATCCAAATAAATTTAAATCTACCCACAGCAATGTCACATGATAATGATTTGATCACAACTTCCTCTTTTTTAAAGCTCTGAAATTGCTTGGATCCTCAGAAGAAAAGAAATTTAAATACTGATTGTATTTTGAGGCAGTTAGAAAAAAAAAAACATCACCACGATAGATTCTGTAACTGTTCTCTTCAAACTCTACTGTTCATATGAACCGTCTGGGGATGTGTGCTAAAATGCAGATTCCCAACCACCTGCTATGGATCTGCAATGGGGCCCCAGTGGTGGGCGTCTCTGACATCCCCACTGACCCGTCCACAAGACACTCTGATGCATGTCGCCCACTTTGGAAAGTACTGGTTTAAAAACAATGACCCTCTAATAAAAAGAATGGAGGGAAGCAAAATGTTCACAGTGAGGCATTAGGGATCACCTAAATTTTAATTCTCATATATCCAAGCTAAGAATTCTGAATGCCAGGGAGGTTCAGTGACTTCATAGCTAGACCAGAACCTACATTTCCTAACCATGTGAGCAGTACTTTTTGTCCGTGAACTAGCAGCACAAGTCCCTCCTCTAGCTCTGCAGGCAAGGGGCCTCCCAAGTGACTCCACAAATCCACCTCCCTCCCCCAGCAAACACATGCAACACCGGATGCAGCCCTCCAGATGATATGCAGTGCCCTTGTGACCGGATGTGCTTCTCCAACAGCAAAAACGAAGCCTCTGACTTACTGTAAGCAAAGTAAACAAAGCAGGGCATTGGCCTCCGTTCCTCCTTCTCCACCCCCCTCATCAGCACGGCAGAGCTAGAAGGGTGACTTCCCCAAAGGCTCAGCCGCTCCGATCCCTAAGCGCCAGGACACTCTTCCTGGAGAAGCACTCTTCACTAAGCATGTTCCTATTCAAGAACCAGTGAGGACTCACCAGTCAGAATGGCTAAAATTAACAAGTCAGGAAACAACAGATGTTGGCGGGGATGCAGAGAAAGGGGAACCCTCCTACGCTGTTGGTGGGAATGCAAGCTGGTTCAGCCACTCTGGAAAACAGTATGGAGGTTCCTCAAAAAGTTGAAAATAGAGCTACCATATGATCCAGCAATTGCACTACTGGGTATTTACCCCAAAGGTACAGATGTAGGGATCCGAAGGGGCACATGCCCCCTAATGTTTATAGCAGCAATGTCCACAATAGCCAAACTGTGGAAAGAGCCAAGATGTCCATCAACAGATGAATGGATAAAGAAGATGTGGTATATATATACAATGGAATATTATGCAGCCATCAAAAGGAATGAGATCTTGCCATTTGCAACACCGTGGATGGAACTGGAGGGTGTTATGCTGAGTGAAATAAGTCAATCAGAGAAAGACATATATCATATGACCTCACTGATACGAGGAATTCTTAATCTCAGGAAACAAACTGAGGGTTGCTGGAGTGGTGGGGGGTGGGAGCGATGGGGTAGCTGGGTGACAGACATTGGGGAGGGGATGTGCTATGGTGAGCGCTGTGAATTGTGTAAGATTGTTGAATCACAGGCCTGTACCTCTGAAACAAATAATACATTGTATGTTAAAAAAAAAAAAAGAAGAAGATAGTAGAAAGGGAAAAATAAAAGGGGGGAAATCGGAGGGGGAGATGAACCATGAGAAACAAACTGAGGGTTTTGGGGGGGTGGGGGGATGGATTAGCCTGGTGATGGGTATTAAGGAGGGCACGTATGTCCAAACAATAATCATGGAACACTACACATCAAAAACTAATGATGTAATGTATGGTGACTAACATAACATAAAAAGAAAAAAAAAAAAGAACCAGTGAGGACTTTTAAAATGCAAATAACCCCAATGTGTTTTTTTTGTTTTGTTTTTGTAACCAGAGACATATACAAAAGTGGACACCGGTATAATGAATCCCTGCGTGCCCATCCTGGGCTTCAAGAGCCATCAGAGCTCGGGCCCCAGCTAGACTCCTCCACCCACTCACATGGGGATGCGTGGAAGCAAAACCTAGAGGGTCTATCACTTCCGTCCATAACGATTTTAGCATATATTCCTCAAAGAGCTCTTAAAAAATTATAGCACCAAAAAAAACCTAAAATTTTTTAAAAAGATTATTGTATATTTGGTCAGTATTCACATTTCTCCAATGCTCTCAGAAAAACTTTTGTAAGATATCTGGACTGGAATCCTTGTCACAGATTTCCACTGGTTGCTCTGGGTTTTAAGTTTTTGGATCCATAGATTTCTTTTTTTAATTTTTCTTTTAAAGATTTTATTTATTTGACAGAGAGAGACAGCGAGAGAGGGAACACAAGCAGAGGGAGTGGGAGAGGGAGAAGCAGGCTCCCCGCTGAGCAGGGAGCCCGATGCGGGGCTCGATCCCAGGACTCTGGGATCATGATCTGAGCCGAAGGCAGACGCTTAACCAACTGAGCCACCCAGGCGCCCCTAATTTTTCTTTTTTTAAAAAGATTTTATTTATTTGAGAGACAGCGAACGAGCTTGAGAGCGCACAAGCGAGGGGAGGGGCAGGCAGAGGGAAGAGCAGACTCCCCACTGAGCAGGGGCGCGATACCAAGACCCTGGGATCATGACCTGAGCCGAAGGCAAATGCTTAAATGACTAAGCCACCCAGGTGCCCCTCTTTTTTTCTTTTTGAACACAGCTTTCAAAACATTTATAAGTTGAGGTGTAATTTATATACAAGAAAATGCACAATTGTGGAGTTCAGTGAGTTCTGGTAAATGCATACGGCTGTGTTGACCGCCTTCCTTATTAAGATACAGAACATTTCTAACAACTCAGTATATCCACACTGCCCCTGCCCTCCTTTGCAGACAATCTGCCCACCACTACCCCCCCACCCAAGGCCACCATTCCTCCGCAGAGCACTGTTGCGTCAACTAGGGCTTCTCAGAACTTCTCCCATGCAGGGCCAACCCCTCCAGCAGGCACATGAGGGTCCTTCATGATGAATGGACCGCCCGTGGGAGTTCTACTGCTCAAACCTTCCCACCCTCCATGTGTTCACAGGGCTCATGTGACGTCATCATTCCCACCTGTGTCCTTTACTAGACCATTCTACGGCCTGCAATTTCAGCAAACCTCAGTATGTGCACTCGAACCATACTCTTTTCGAGGCTGGCCCCAATTGTACTTCCTC